GCAAGAAAAGAAGTGTACCTGAGAAAGCGAGCATGAGGTTGTGAGAAAGACTGAATGTGAAGTTGCAAGAAAAGATGTCAGGTTGTTAGGGTGCAAGGTTGTGAGAAAGGACATGAGGTTGCAGGAAAAGGCACAGTGTTGTGAAAAAGGGCGTGAAGCTGCAAGAAAGGGCGTAAAGATGTGAGAAAAGGAGTGGGCACTAGAGGGTGTGCATAAGAGAGAGAGAAAGGGGAAGAGAAAGAGAAGGAGAGAAAAAGCGTGAATGAGAAAGTGAGTGCTCAAGAAAGGGGGGGGAGAGAGCATCTGAAAAAAGAGAGCGTGCTGGAAAGAGATTGCATGAGGAGAGAGGTGGCATGAGAAATTGCATGCAAGGGCATGAGAAAGAGCAAGAGCAAGGTCACAAGAAAGAGCACGCGGTTGCAAGGAATGGGGTGGGGACATGAGAAAGGACACAAGAAAGGGAGTAAGGGTGCGAGAAAAGGAGCGGGTGCAAGAAAGTGACTGAGAAAGAGCAAGCACATGAGAGTGCATGTGAGAATGAGACACTGAGAGAGAAAAGGCAAGAAAAATAGAGAGAGAAAGAGCAAAGGCGGGGACAGAGCTTTCAAAGAAAGTGCTCAAAAAGGGGAGGGAGAGAGATAGTGGGGGGGCAAAGACAGAGATGGCACAGAAGAAGAGAGAGAGCACAAGGAAAAGCTCGTGCAAGAATCCAAGCATGGGTATGTAAGAGGTAGTGCAGGGTCACAAGAAAGGGCGTGAGGTTGTGAGGACAGCGAGGGCACGAGACATGGAGCAGGTGCAGCAGCGTGTGAGAAAGAGTGAGCATGTGCATGAGAGAAAGGATGACTGAAAGAGGGTTAGAAGGAAGGAAAGAAAAGGGAGAGAAGGAAGGGGAGAGAGGGAAAGGGCAAGAGAGAGAAAAAGAGAAAGAGAAAGGGAGAGAGATCATATGACTAAGAGTGTGCAGGAAAGAAAGACATGGCAGGAAAAAAAGAAAGCATGTGCAATAAAGTGAGGGTGTGATAAAGAGTGAGAACAAAGTCACAAGAAAGGGTGCAAAGTAACAAGAAAGGGGTGTGAGAAAGCACATACAGGCATGAGAAAGGTGCAGGAAGAGGAGTGAGAAAGAGAGCGAGGTCGTGAGAAGGGAGGTGGGCATTAGAGAGATTATGACTGTGCAAGAAAGAACAAGCATGGGAGAAAGAGCAAGTTCATGTGAGAGAGAATGAGAAAAAGAGAGTGAGAGAGAAAGAGTGGGCATGTAAGAAAGAGAGAGAGAGCACATGTGAGAAAAAGCAAGTGTGAAGGGGCGAGAAACATTGGGCATGGGAAAGGGCATGGGCGCCAGAAGGCATGAGCATGTGCGAGAGAGCAAGTGTGTGCAACAAAGTATATGAGAGAGCTAAAGCATGAGAAAGGCAGAGTGTGTGTGAGAAAGGGAGAAAGAGTGATAGAAAGTGAGAGTGCAAGAGAAAGAGAGACACTGAGAAGGGTCATGAGAAACAGCGTGTGAGAAAGAGAGAGCATGTAAGAATGAGAGCGCATGAGAGAAAGAGAGCACCAAAAAAAGAGCGTGTGAGAATGAGAGAGCTTGAGCAATACAAAGAGCTAGCACAAGGGCTCAAGAAAGGGTGGGCTCAAGAAAGGGCAAAAGTGTGGGAAAGAGCAAGGGAACGAGAAAGAGCAAGGGCACGTGAGAGAGCGGGCTCCAGTAAGAGCAGGCACAAGAAAGAGTGAGCGCGCACGAGAGAGAGAGAGTGGGTGCGAGAGAGGACGGCCAAGAAAGCGAGTGCAAGAAAGGAAGCATGCACGAGAAAGCACTAAAGACTGAGAAAGAGAGCTCCCAACAAAGAGAAAGCATGCCTTCCGTTTACAAGAGAGTTTTCTTTGCTGAACAGTTTTATACTTTGTAGGAGTATATTTCCATTGTAGGAACATTTATTAAAGTAAGTAAATATTGAAAGAAATAACTTACTTTCAAGGCAACTCAAAGTATTTAACTGAAATTTAAGTTTTCTTGCTTCCTTTTTTTTTTTTAAGTTAGGTCTATTTTTATACCAAAAAATGCAATGTCAGTAAAGTTTTCCATTTCACATATCAACTCCTTTACTAGTCCTGAGCACACTAAGCAGCACAGAGCAATATGAAAGATAGCAGAAGAAAACATTAACTTAATTCTGGAGTAGTTAGTACATTTTCTTTCTCCTACATGGGATGAGAAAGCCTTTTGAAGCCCTTTACCTCAGGAGTTTTATGGGAGAAAAGGTCCTAGTTTAGATCTAGAAGAAAATAACTGTCTGTAGCTCTTTTCTTTGCATGATATTATTATCATGGCATGCAGAGACTAAATCGATCATGAGGCAGAGAGGTGTGCATTTAGCAATGCAGTCAGGTCATTCTCCAGCTCAGTGTTTAAATGTGAACTCCTGTGTATGGTGGGATGAAAGCAATCCAGCTGAAACGAACAAGGAGTATATGAAGATGATTATATGGGAAGCACTACAAAGCTCAACCACTCAGATCTCTTCTACTCACACTACACTTTAAAGGATGGTCTTTCCACATTCAGGTAATCCTTCTTTGTTAAAACACATATTTTTAAGTCAAATCCATTTCTAAGTAACATCACGCTCCAATAGCCATAGCAACATTATCATCTTTCTGTTTACTCTGTGTTTTCTTTAACATTCGGAGGCTCCATCTAATTAATAATATATTTATTACACCATTTTTATTAATACTTCTTTTCTCTGCATCTTTCACCATAGAAACATTAGTTAGTGCCAACAGCTGTTTCAGTTTATAACATTAGATGTAACATATTTTAAATTGTGCTGTCAGCACGTCTTTAAACCAACTATCAAAATAAAATATATAACTAGCTCAATGCTACTGAAAATCACTAAGACAATTAGACTTTCACTTGGTACTTAACTTTATGTTTTACTAGCAAAAGCGGTGGTTAGCAAGCTACCATATGGAAGAGAAATAGACAAATGCAAGGCATATTATTTGGCTTAAACCCTAAGATTAGTGCTCAACTTGAATAACTGATCCTGTGATTAGGAGTGTTGTATCCTTTCCCTGCTGCCCTTCTTGCACAGGTTTCTGATATACAAAATGTCAGCACCTCTTAAGTATCTGAAATTCTTCCCTGTCTTCATTAGTTCCATTACTAATGCCACTGTTCACTGTCAAAGAAGGTAGGATCTAGCCTTTAAGTATTGCCTTGTGTAAGGAAGTCTTTCATGCCCCTCACATCCACTTTCTTAAGGAAACTTTACTGAAATTCAGTTTTTCTTTGAAACAGAAATGCATCTGGCTGTACCTCTCTTAGTAAATGAAATGATGGACAAGAATGAACCAGGGTACTGTAATGTGATCACCTGCACTGGTGCCCGCCGCCAGAACAGTCCCTGGCCCACACTTGTCTTATGTCAACTAACAGACATCCAAATGACTCCTCGGCAAAGTTGTTAAAACACCATCAAAACCACACCTGACAGGCAGGCTGCATGCAGCCACCTTGTTTTGGAGGGTTTGCTAGAACAGACACAGGTTCTCGCGTGCCAAGGAGGCTCAATGCCTGGACACGTTCCTGGATACGTGTACTTTATCAATAGAGTTGGAGCCTCTGTCTTCCTTGTGGGTCCAAAAAGTAGAGAAATATCTGAAAAACTTGTTATTTGGGCTAAGTGTACAACCATGGTCAAAGATGGCCCCATCTAAGGAGACATGTCTGCTGCTTCCAGGAGTAAATGCTACCAACCCAGTAAAAGTATACCATATCAGAAAAGAGAATAACCCATGATAGGATTAACTGGTAGTGTTCCAGGTGAATTGGTGCTAACCCCAGTATGTATATCCTCAATACTGGAGAGGTGATTCAGGAAAATAATGTAAAAAAAAAAAATCTTCCTTAATTAAAGGACATGACGATTCAATAATATCTTTTATTTCCGAGATCTGTAGGATGCTGCCATTTATTAGGCAGGGTATCAAAACAGATGGTTTGGCGACATAATTTCTTGCAATTCATACAGAAGCAGTGCTTGATTTGGGCACCTCTCTGTGTATTGTCCATAATACAAACAGTATTGTTCTGATTTAATTTTCTGACATGCTAAGCACACGTAGGATGGAAAAGACACTGCAAATTCAGGGTCTAACGTTGACCTTTTGACAGAATATGTCTACAAAAGAAGCGACAATCTTATGCTTTCAATCATTTTGTAAATGGAAAAGGGACACAAGGTATTGAAGGCAAATCTGTCTGCAAATCCCTTGAGACCAAGGCAATGAGTCTGATGCAAAATTAATCTCAGTTGAGAAACCAAATCATTCTGAAGTCAACTCAGGACACAAAGTACTGCTGGGGAAGCACCTCGTGCTGGAGCACTCATACTAGGAGATCGAAGGGCTCCCAGGTGGCAACAGATTGGAGTAATTTCTGTCTGCCTCCCTGGGAAGGGCAGAGCCCAGTCCAGGCTCCAAAACCCTTACAACCATCTTGTGAGTCTTGACTGTTTTCAGCCTCCACATCACCACTTGCTAGACTGGCCCATAACACTGTGTCTCTCATGCTAGAAATATGTCTCAGTTTTATGGACTGGTATGAAAGCAAACCCACAGAGTCAAATCTGACAGCATAAACTGATGTTCCTTTAACTACCGTAGTGTTCCATCACTTTGGATCAGCTAGAGGTCTGGTTCTACTCTGTTTTTAAACAAAATATTCTTGTCATTCCCTCAGGTTGTAACTTCAACCACTATACTCGTAGGGTAGAAGACTATTGTTTGAGCTATAAACCAATGTATTTTAAAAATACATGCATACAAGCACACACACGTACACACAAGCACACACTCATTGCAGTCTGAAATCTTGTCAGTCAGTCTATGTGAGGAAAATACTTCCATGAGGATACTATTTTTTTGGACAGCTCTTTTTATTCTGTCTGCCGATAGTCTAAACTTCTCTTCCATGGTTTCAGGTTTAGCAGTTACTCCAGATGTTCACTTGATGTAAATCAGCAGTGATTTCTATTCATCAGTGGCTCTTTGCATCTGTTAAGGAACTGGCTCATCTAGTGTCTTTAAAAGTTGTCTTTAAAGCCTAATTATTTTGTTGCTGTGCATTATTACTGACTTGACTCTCTTGAAGAGAAAAATACTCTTATATTGATACTTCAACCACTTTGTTGCCAGCCTTTTCACAGTCACAGGCTGACAGAGTAAAAGTAGCTAGTATACATACTTGGATCACTAGCTCATTTCCAAGCTAGACAACCTGATTACAGAAAGCAACTGCACTGTGTCGCATGCATAGGAAGGACTGCAAAGGCTCTGAGTTTTATGAAATACGTTAGTGACCTATGAATTATCTTTAGATCTTGATAACAGGTTTTGCTAGGTGCTCGAAAGATTACCAAAGCGGACAGAATGGCTCCCATGGAAAGCTTGTAAAGAACAGAGATTATCTTCTTAGCAGCAATCTTTAAACAGAACTAATTGTTTCATCACAGAAACTATCATGGCACTAGCTTTCACTTGTCTGAACCATCCATTATTACTGCAGTCATCATCTCTCTCACAGAAACTCCAGTTACTACATACCCGGTTTAACAGAGAAACTGCAACTTGTACTACTCTCACCCACACATTCTACCTCACGTTTTGTCTAAATGCTGATTTCTCAACTGATACAAGGCTCAACACCTCTTCAAAAAGTGAACTACATAGAAAGCAAGAAGCTGCCCCAGTGGAACAATAAAATATTGATAGAACAGTTCTGTCCCAAAGAACTTCAGAAATTAGTATTTTCAAGCTGTTACAGATTGTACCACAAAGCCCTTGTTAACTTTGAACAAATACACAGGTATTCACATTAAACTACAATCAAAAGTGTCATTGAATTCCTAGGGAATTATTTTTTATGAGTGACCCTTGTCACAGAATCCTAAAATACCACTGCATTTTAATTTAAATATTCCAAAACAGCTTTTAATCCTTATGATCTGGAGAACACAAGTACTCTGCTCTAAGATAGCATTAGCAATCAGAAACAAAGGTTTACACAAAGCAGCTCCCCTATTTGGATTTGTGTCAGTGCGGTTTGAATATTGATTTTTATTGTTCTTTCTAAACATATGTGGAAGATATACTAAACATCTGGACAAAAGATGAAAAATGGGCAAAGAGATCTACTGTGCTGTGTAAATACAGCAAATATACTCATCTGATTACCATTACTAATACTGA